ACACGTAAAAAGAAAAGGGGGCCTAAACTCAGCTATGCTTAGCTCCAGTTTACTTAAACTCAGGTCACTTGGTGAGAATTAGCTGTGGGTAAGGACAATATATTTTCGTGGTATTTTTTTTACGAGTAACCAAACTATTCCAACACAAATATCGATATTGAAACTGTATACTCCCTTATATAACCATAAGATATGATGGAAATGTACTTCATAAAAAAAGAAGTAATAGTGAAATGAATGGCCCTATCTAAACTGAAAATTAGTCCTTAGATAACAACATTCTTCTGACTGTGCAAGTGTAATTAGACTTATGTTGCACCATTATTAATGGAGTACAAGCCTTGTGTTCAAATGTAATGAATTACTAAAATTCTATTTCATATCATGGCCAGTTTTATGTCTTTGACAACGTCGGAGAAAGACGACACTGGTATTTTGATTAATATATATATATACCTCCCCTGATTACTTTTTCCAATTCTTGGATAAATAAAATAAACAGTTCAATATCCTGTGATCACAAAATTTAGAAAAAGATGAACCTTTTGATTATATAATGCAAAACGAGAGGAATAATTCGTAAATCGTTTGTGATAACGTGCACCTGCGAATCGCTAGATATCATTGTTATGTATATCAAACGACCCCCCCAAAAAGTTCCAAGACAGAGAAAATTTTCCTGGGAATGTGTGCGTAAATTTTAACGAAAAATATTATCCATTTGGTTAAAGTAATATTTTCAGTTTTAATTTTAAAATAAAATGAAACGGCTATTCATGGAAGTTGTCTATATGAACTTATAATATTGACTATTGCACTCCCAAGAAATATGTACATGTTGTGGTTACATTTACATTTCACCTGATAACACTTGTCCAAAGGAAAGAAAAATCGCAGACGACACTATAAACTTATCAATTTCTTATGTAAGAATGTTCAAACAAACACGAGATTATCAAAGGTTCATTCATACATGTTGTGGCCTATATTTACATATGATATCATACTGAACACTGACAAATATCCAAAGTGAAATTAATTGTGTGACAATATGTATAAGAGATATGCAAAATCTACATCACACTTGGAACTGTAAACAGCAGGATACAATGATCGTGTGTGCTTTCATTCAAGGACCTTCACCTTAAAGAAATTACCAAATATGTACAACAGTGTTGACTTATGACATCACTACCGATGACTGACTTTTACAAAATAACGTTCATTGTCAACAGTACGCGGGATTGTACGAGGTGACTTTCGTTGATTCACGGATCGTATATACATAAATGTGACTTGTAAGTAATCAGAAACATTCTGACAATCTGCTTAGGAGATAAATATTTCGTTTTGTAAGATTTGCGTGATGTTATGGTTAATGGATGTACGGAAATTTTATTTGAACACGACGACACATAAAATCACGCAAATCTTACAAAAGAAATATTTCTCAACATTGTATCATGAACGTTAATTAAAATCGATATTGAGGAGGAACTAATTTACTAAGCGCATGACACAACAAAACTGTCGTTAGCAATACGTCTCCTCGTGCTCGCTTGGAAAAGATGCATTATATTAGGTGCCGTGAAACCGATCAATGGTTTCGAGGTACTCAAATAATGATGATTCATTCTATGAAAGGGGTGGTCACATTTTCAAGCCCATTTCTCAGAAAATAAACAAACACCAGGAAATATCACAAATTCAATTCTTTATCACAGTTCCTCATCTTACTTGTAATTTGTAGTTATGCGTATCTATAAAATACAAATAATCAAAATTAGAAAAGACGGACATAGTGTTTGGTCCCTATACAATATAGTGTCAACTCGCCTGAAACTGAGGTGGTGACACGAGACGTCAAACATGTGCGAGATTTAAGACATGCAGCTTAGCTGGGATGGGAAAAGTTGTTTACTGTTACAGTGGAATTACATATGTGAAAGAGACCATGGAAATTAGCAGAAGAATTAACCTGTAAGTTATTCACGGAAGCAGTGGACTGTGACAGGATATTTGTATCATGGACAGGTACCAAATTCCGTTCGTTAGCGAGCTGCTGCTGTCCCTGAAGAATGTTCGAATAATGTCGTTTTTGAGCCGAACTCGAGTCAATGGAATACGACCTAACGATTCATCAGTTTTGTGGCCGGTAATTTTGCAAATCTCGCGATTTTCAATACCTGCGTTTGACAGCAAAGTGACGGCAGTTGCCCGAAGACAATGGTTTGTATACACTTTGAGACCAGCGTTGGTAGAAATATATTTCATCATGTTGCCCATGACATTTACACCAACTGGCCTCGTGGTGCACCATTCGGTGTCGTCGACGTGGACTCGTCTCTTGGGAGCCTGGTAAAAAGCACCATTGTTGGGATTGAGGAGAAACATGTATTACAGGACAGAATTGGTCCGATGTTGCATAAATGCGTTTGTTGGGCCCATTTGAGTCTTTGAGGTCGCCCTTGTGATTTTTATTGACTCCGGAGTGTGTCATTTCAATAAACTCGAACCCCTGTTCATCAGTGGATACACGAAAGGAAGATGCAGTAAATTCCCTATGGTTTTCTTTACCACGACGAGCGAAACCGAGTGTAAGGTCGAACCTAACTTTACGAAGCAAGCCGGAAGGAGTTTCTGTATCCAAACTTTCACGAATTATTTTTAAATCATTCTCGGGGATAGCAGCATGAAGTGTTGTCTGGTCAAGGCCATTGCGCTAAAGTTTTTTTTATCATGGACAGAAAAACCTTGTTTGCAGTGTGAAATTCCTGGTCTTGGATAATGTTTATGCTGCGCTCAAATGTCGGTCCCCTGATGTGCCTGTGTATGGCAGCATGCAACCAAACAAAACTCGATTTTGAGTAAAGATCTCCCTCAGCATTTCTGACTTCGGCATAAAAGAACCTCAGTCTCTCATTCAGTTGGGAAGCAGGAAGCTCTTCCAACTTGGGTTCAAAACTTCGGAAACCAAGCCATTCTGGAAGTGAAAATGATTGCCTTGGTCAGGGTACAAATGTGACAGTAAGTGGGAGTAATTGGTTATTATTACAGCATCGTGTTTAAATGAAATTTCCGTACATCCATTTAGCATAACATATCTCAAATCTTACAAAACGAAATATTTAATTTACGTTAGGATTTTGGTCAATCTCGTTATATTATTGCCAATTTTGGCGATGACACACTGGTCACGATTTACATTGCTATCATGGCAATGGTGTAAGGGAGGTAACTCTCGCTGATGTTGATCGAATCTGCGTAGGAATTTTAGGTATGTGTTTATGTATTCTTTTATGTTTCAATGGCTTACGTCGAAATATTTTAACTCCCGAGGAGGTATTACGCCTTGTAGATTTGGAGAGGTTCCCATCCACGATGTCCTGTACTGCTTTTTCATCAAGGGACGCGAAACGGTCACTGGACGCTTGAACTTCGGGCTCTACGGAAACGCTGGCTGTATTCCCTAGTTCAGGGGCCATCTCAGAACGTTTTTCAGCTTCAACAGCTGTTGTGAGTAATAATAATTACAAAATTAGGTGGGTGTATGAAAGTCATAACTATTATAGAGTTGCAATAAATGTTTTTTACTCTGTTAAAAAATGATTTTCTTTTCTTTTCTCTTTGGCCAAGCCCATGAAAATTACAGCATTTATGACTATGATTGTGTAATTAATGAAAAAAGGTAAATTTCATTTACCTTCAAATTCTTGAATTATCTCAGAAAATGTCTCGTCGTCCCGATCTGACTATTGCCATTGACAATATCTGTTGAAAATATCAAATCATAGCAATGTATCTATTTTTAATTCCCTAATTCTTCCTATGATTCCCTTACCATGCATATTCTGAACTAATAGACCAGAGACCGTGGTCTCTGAATAGACGTATGGAAAATGCTCTGTTGTAAAATCTGTATTTTGCTTTGTTTTCATTTCAAACAAGTGCAATTTTTCGACCACAGCGTTCGTTTTCACACCTAATTTATTTTGCTTGATTTTATCTAGGCACTTTGTGGTGACAGAGACCATGTGTCATTTGATTCTAAAATGTATGAGGAATTCAAGGATGTATGTATCGCAGGTAAGTTTGAAATACACGTAATGTTACAGGCGTCTTATTACCGGTACACGTGAAACGTGATTTTGTAAACACTATCTAATATCGCGGAAAGTTCACAGTATACAAAACTGTGAAGTGTATCTGCGTGTCTGATGTATTTTGAATTTTATTCGACTTCAAAGTGAGGTTTGAAGAGGAGGGACATATATTGTCCATCTGGCATCCTGCCCCTGGGTACAAAAACAACAACAAATGACCAAAAAGCCTATCTATAGCTCTGAATTCATCTGGGAAATCTGGTCACTCGTAAGACGAGAGTGTCAAGAAGGTGTCCTGTGCTGGGAAGTAGCTTGATTGAAATGGTGAAATGGGAGAGAGAAAATAAATATCTCGCCAATCAGTTATATTTCTTTTTAAATTTTAGCAGCAACAATATGCAACACATCTCCATAGAAACAGATGTATATTTTTCCTTTGTTAAACTATATCGCCCACATGAGGCCTGTGCTGTAGTTGCATATGTCGTGAAGCCAGCATCGTACCGCCCTGTGAATTACCGATATCGTATTTAGCAGAGAAAACAGCTGGCTGCTTTAGTGTTGAGACCTTAGCGGGAATGCCGTGACGTCATCGACAGTGTGACGTCACTGTCATTGTACATTTGGCGCCACTTAAGCTGGGCGAACCTCGGCTCGGTCTGAGGTCACCCGAGTGCAGCGAGATGTAAACAAACAGGTATTTTTTGTGTGTTTCACGATTAATTACCAACTTATGGCATTAAATTAACACATAAATATATAAAGACATACATGAATATATCACGAGGTGCGGTGCTTACATACCAATCACACATCTTCTCTATTTACACTCAGTGAACAATTTTCTTACCTGGTCATGCGAAGTTCCAAACACAACAAATGACAAAATGTCTGAAAAAGTTTTTACAAGATTTATTCATCTCCCAACACAACAAACAGCTTCACGTAAATAAAGACATATTTACACACGACGACGTGAACGGCACACCACATCACTGTCAGGTCTCTTCGTTCGTCTACACAAACACGACACTGACGTCACTGAGCGCCGCATGACACGAGCAGATCCACCACTCGCGGACGTCCCCAGTATCTCGCCAGGTCGGCAACTGTCTTCACCCGCTTGTTCCTGGCGTTGATGTCCACCACGTTCAGAGACAGCACAAACTTCACCGTCTCTAAGTCTCCTCCCATACAGGCGAGGTGAAGGATGTTGTAACCCAACCTGTCCACAAGTGACACATCGGCCCCTCTACTCACCAGGAGCTCCACCACGTCACTGTTTCCATACCCTGCTGCCCACATCAACGGTGTCCAGTTCCTCCATCCCCTACAATTGACGTCGACGCCCAGAGACAGGTGCCGCTTCACCTCCTCCGGCGAGGTGAAGGATGTTGTAACCCAACCTGTCCACCAGTGACACATCGGCCCCTTTACTCACCAGGAGCTCCACCACGTCACTGTTTCCATACCCTGCTGCCCACATCAACGGTGTCCAGTTCCTCCATCCCCTACAATTGACGTCGACGCCCAGAGACAGGTGCCGCTTCACCTCCTCCGGCGAGGTGAAGGATGTTGTAACCCAACCTGTCCACCAGTGACACATCGGCCCCTTTACTCACCAGGAGCTCCACCACGTCACTGTCTCCATACCCTGCTGCCCACATCAACGGTGTCCAGTTCCTCCATCCCCTACAATTGACGTCGACGCCCAGAGACAGGTGCCGCTTCACCTCCTCCGGCGAAGTGAAGGATGTTGTAACCCAACCTGTCCACCAGTGACACATCGGCCCCTTTACTCACCAGGAGCTCCACCACGTCACTGTTTCCATACCCTGCTGCCCACATCAACGGTGTCCAGTTCCTCCATCCCCTACAATTGACGTCGACGCCCAGAGACAGGAGCCGCTTCACCTCCTCCGGCGAGGTTAAGGATGTTGTAACCCAACTTGTCCACCAGTGACGCATCGGCCCCTTTACTCACCAGGAGCTCCACCACGTCACTGTTTCCATACCCTGCTGCCCACATCAACGGTGTCCAGTTCCTCCATCCCCTACAATTGACGTCGACGCCCAGAGACAGGTGCCGCTTCACCTCCTCCGGCGAGGTGAAGGATGTTGTAACCCAACCTGTCCACCAGTGACACATCGGCCCCTTTACTCACCAGGAGCTCCACCACGTCACTGTTTCCATACCCTGCTGCCCACATCAACGGTGTCCAGTTCCTCCATCCCCTACAATTGACGTCGACGCCCAGAGACAGGTGCCGCTTCACCTCCTCCGGCGAGGTGAAGGATGTTGTAACCCAACCTGTCCACCAGTGACACATCGGCCCCTTTACTCACCAGGAGCTCCACCACGTCACTGTTTCCATACCCTGCTGCCCACATCAACGGTGTCCAGTTCCTCCATCCCCTACAATTGACGTCGACGCCCAGAGACAGGTGCCGCTTCACCTCCTCCGGCGAGGTGAAGGATGTTGTAACCCAACCTGTCCACCAGTGACACATCGGCTCGTTTACTCACCAGGAGCTCCACCACGCCTCTGTGTCCCATGCTGCTATCATCACCGGTGCCTTGCTCTGCCTTTCCCTACAATTGACGTCGACGCCCAGAGACAGGAGCCGCTTCACTTCCTCCAGCTTCCCCCTCCTGCTGGCGTTTATGAGGCGGCAGCAGTCTGCTGGTGATGGAGTCGCTGAAACACAAAGTAAACTCTGTACACTTCCCGACATCTTCGTCATACATCTACATGGTTCAACGTGTGGACACGTGACACGGTACGTCATCAAACACTTCCAACATGGCTGACCATACAACGATTAAGGGGAAGGACGGAAGCTGTCTCATGTAATCAAGGATTATGTTGTCAATGTTTAAAATCTTTGTTTTACATCCAGTAGTTGTAACATTATTCTGTTTATGGCTGGAGAGTGTTAACGTTTGATGAACTGAGCTTTATAAGAAGATACTGTCGGTACACAACTGGGATATGATAACATGCAAGGAGCAAGTCAGAACCCCCATGGGTCTATACCCCAGCTTGTTAATTGTTGGAGGGATTAAAGTGTGGGCTTTCTACCTGCTTGGTTATCCCACCTACCCTGTGTAGCAGGCTTTTTTGTGGTCGCCACTGGTGTCCCCTCGGTCCAACTCGGATCACTCGAGGCTGAAACACAGAACATGCTGTTCAGAAAACAATACAAACCACATAAGCATTATACATACACGATATGTCCGTTCGACACATTTTATGTATTTGAAATTTTCACCCATTAGACCTAATACAATTTTAAATACGTTTATCTTAGTAAAAGTAAAAAAATTATAAAAATATAAGGTAGTCTAGCGACTAACAAATCACTCAAACGACTATCTTAATAAACAACACAAATATTGAGATTGCTGTTCATATGAAGGTTTGTGGAGTGAACGTTCTGGCTTATATTTGTTACATGTTGATCTGAGCTCATCGCCTACAAGGGTTCGACAGTGACAGTATCTACCCTGTGTAGCAGGCTTTTTTGTGGTCACTGGTCTTCTCTCGGTCCGACTCGGGTCACTCGAGGCTGAAACACAAAACATGCTGTTCAGTTGGGTTGGGTGAGTTGGGTTTTACACGCTCTCAGCAATATTCCAGCAATATGTGTGTGGGGAACACCATATATTGGCGTCACACATTGTACCCATGTGGGGGAATCGATCCCGTGCTTTCGACGTTAAGAGCGAATGCGTTAACCACAAGGCTACCCACCACCCAAATATATGCTGTTAAGAAAACTATATATTGCAGGTAAACAATATAACTACTGGCCTCAGAGAAGTTTTTGCCTTTCAGCAAATGTGTGACTTTCAAATTTATTCATTGATGAACTTAATTTATAATACATTTGCTGTAGCAGAGGTATTATTAATATAACGTAGCATGGTGACAAATTTTGGAAATTGCTTATATTTATTACATTAAGATTGCTTTTAATCTACCCCGCGTTTCTATAGGAAAAAACACATTCTGAATTAGTCTAAAATGCAAACTGCCTCTGTGCGAACTGCAGAGATATATCTCTTCTTTTGGTTGAAATGTTGCAGGAACTGAATAGAATACAACATGCAACACCAATGAGTATTACTACACCAGCGATAGAAATTGGCACTAGTCCTATAGTCCTTTCCAAGCATCCCAATAGTTAGTTTATATTGCTGTTCACAGATGAAAGACCAGATCTAAAATAAACTGAAACACAGAATATATGCATTTATTATATTAGAACATCCGATGAGGGTATTACATCAGCTACCTTCCCATAATTCCCAACACTCTCTTACTAGACACTGGGGGGCACGGGTGGCCCAGTCGTCTAAGGCGCCGCGATTCGCTGTGCAGAGTTGCGTCCCTTGGGCACGCCAGAAACCTATGATTGTGGGTTCGAATCCCGGTTCGCTCCGATTATGTTTCTAGGTTTGTCAGCACCATACCCGTGCTCGTGGGTTTCACCGAAGTGGTAAACGTTTGAGACCTGCATCACTTCGGGCTTTCCTCCCACATTAAGCTGACACGCCGCGATATAACTGGAATTGTTAAAAGCGGCGTTAAACCCAACTCACTCACTTACTAGACACTGAACATTTTACATTGTTTGATGTCTCGGGTCATACAATATTTCAAACCTCGATATATTACATGCTACAGATTATTATTTCAGTGAGGACACTTTCATGATGATGCAATGAATGTAAAAGAACTACACTACTACTTTACTAATCACGTGTACAGCACAGTGGAAATTCAGTGTCAGGAAAACTCTTTGCAACACTGTGATAATTCACCATTCCGAGCGATGGCGGCAGTACATCCATCACAGATCAGCTTACTATCTGAGAAAGAAACTGTAGCCGGCACTACTTGATACGGTGTTTGGTTGTGTAAAGAATGGTATAAACACGTGGCCCTATTATGTGATAAGATTGAAATGCCGATTGCACGTGTGACATGCGCCAAATTATTTTCGCATTTAACGTCCGTTCTAACGTAGTCATGCACTAACGAGAATCATGCACATTAGCCCTTCTATATTTTACGGGGTGGTCGGGTAGCCTGGTGGTTAAAGCGTTCGCTCGTCACGCCCAAGACCCGGGTTCGATTCCCGACATGGGTACAATGTGTGAAGCCCATTTCTGGTGTCCCCCGCCGTGATATTGCTGGAATATTGCTAAAAGCGGCGTTAAACCATACTCACTCACTCACTCTATATTTTACATTTCCTTGCCATTCTTCAAAAACAATGTTGGTGCCCTGCAGATATACAATTGTTCCACATAATATTTTCCGGATAAGAAGAACAAAGCTTCAGGCCATGGTTGTAAACAAAATGAGACTGATACATTTATCCCTTTACTGTAGTAGGGATATATTTCAGTAGATTTCTGCCATTCTATGATGCAGAACAACGTTTAAAAAAATATGAGCCAAAAAAACACATCCGACACTTGACATATAAGAATGTCATAAAGGCTTCAATCCAGTTGTAAGTTATTGTTATTAGTCAGAGGATGAAACGCAATAAACTGATCAAATAGAGCAAGTTTTTCTGTTGAAACAAGGTGTTTAATGTTTACATCCATGCGTTTGTTTATCCCCGGTGACAGGCTAAGCAAACGTCTTGGGTGTAAACATTGTGTGAAGCAAGCACCTGATTCCTTCAAAATGTATTCTGTTGTACATCAGTCTTACTATATTTACAATGTTTGTTTCATTTAATTTCCTAAAAACTTCTGAAGTACAAACTGATAACTTACCCACCGTTTACGTCCTAACACGAGTGACACATCTCACTGCCAGTCTTGAAATGCCTTGACTGGCGACACTACGAGCGCGGTGGGGCGAGCTGTGACGTCACTGTGACGTGTCTGGTTTGGAGCATGGCATTGTTTGGCGCTCGACTGCTTGTGCCGATGAACCGCGTGGCGTTACTAGGCCTACTGTAGCCAAAACCTTGCCATCCCTCCAGACGTCACTCTAAGATTAATATAGTGTGGAGTCATACTACAAGTCTTACTACAGTCTCACCTTATTTTGTTACAGATTGTATGTCTAGGTGCAAAATTAAGCCTACTTCATTGGTTTCAGAAATCTACCTCATCATCGTGCGTGGCGACTATGCTTGTCGTAAGAGGCGACTCACCGGATCGGGTGGTCAGGCTCGCTGACTTGTTTGATGCATGTCATCGATCCCAATTGCGTGGATCGATGCGCATTGTATTAATCACTGGATTGTCTGGTCCAGACTCGATTATTTACGTAATATAGCTGGAATATTGCTGAGTGCGGCGTTAAATAACAAACAAACCAACCAACATCATCGTGCGTAAAATATGTTTGTATTTTATAAGATGTTTCCTAAGGGATCAAAGGCACCGGGCGGCCCGGTCGTCTAAGGCGCATCGATTCCCTGTGCAGATTTGCGCCACTTGGGCACGCCAGAAACCTATGATTGTGGGTTCGAATCCCGGTTCGCCCCGATTATGTTTCTAGGTTTGTCAGCTCCATACCCGTGCTCGTGGGTTTCACCGAAGTGGTAAACGTCTGAGACCTGCATCACTTCGGGCTTTCCTCCCACATTAAGCTGACACGCCGTGATATAACTGGAATAATGTTAATGTTAAACCCAAATCACCGAACTGGCAGACGTTTCAGACCTATATTTTAAACCCATCTCCAATGAAAAGATTGATCACCTTCAAGTTTGGCATCTTAGAAAAGTAATAAAGTTTGCATGTGTAGTGTAATAAAGTATAGTTTTGCCCTGATGTATTATAACGTCAAAGCAACGTATGCGTTCTCGTGCTTTAACTATAATATTTAAACATTATACTTTATTACACTTCTCTTGGGGTAGAGTAAACTTTATTTCTTAACTAAAACTCAACAGTGTGATTAAATGACATTTTAAGGTAATTTAACAGTAGGCAAGGTAACAACGTACCATCCGTTTAATGTCTTAGCGTATGTTTAGATGCAAGTTTCATTACCAAATTATTTTCCAGATAGACGTGTGAAATATTAAAGAAAGCATTCTCAACGGCGCCATTGGCTTTTACCATCCAGTCAACATGCACATATTATATTCCGCCATCCCCGTCACTCACATACAACTGGTACTTGCTACGTATACGTCCAAACATTTGGCAATTACGAAGCTTCAGTGACGTGTGTGAAATGTCGCGTCGTCGTTCATTATCAAACCTACGTATCCTTGCCAAATCCAGTCGCGTGAGGCGAGTGAAGGTCTCCTGGCCGTCTTTTGACTCGCTTTGTTGTCAGCTACCGTTCGGAAAACCTTTTTCGACACGATGGAGAAATCTGATGACCTCGGTGAATCGGTACAAAATGTAATTCTAAAACAGAACCAAAATGGCGAAAATCCGGCCAATCACCACGTCTACGTTTCCCTATGGTCAGTAAGAGAGAGTCTAGCTAAGTCCATGAGGGAAGGGTCCGACGACCGTTCATCCTAAGTACCTTCCTAGACATTTATGTGTTGGCGCACACTCATACAATCATTAACAGAAACGCAAGGTTTGATACTCACATAAACTTTACTTATTGCGACGTTAGGCCCAAAACTAATGTTGCTGATCCCTCTCGGTGCCCTGTGCAGGTGTATAAGTTGTATGCCTCCACGCGTCCACTCGACTTCTGTCGAGATGACGATCCCTTTTACATCGGCACACACACTTTAGGTATGCCTAAACCTGGCGATCAGTGGTTTATCCGCTATCGTATTGGGAAAAACAAACTTTTCTCTCTCATGAAAAACATGTGCGATGCCGCCAGTCTCCAAACATCGAAACGACTCACAAATCACTCTGCGCGCAAACACCTTGTGCAAAAGTTGAATGACAATAAAGTTCCGCCAAATCAAATAATACAGATAACTGGCCACAAAAACATCCATTCTGTGAACAATTACTGCCATATTAATCCTGACCAGCACAAGCAAATATCCAACATCATTTCACGAAACGCTCCATCCCACACTGCGTCATCTCAGCTTGTTGATGAAACTCCCGTCATGCAGAGCGGCCCCTCGAGTAATGTCCAAATCGACAGTAGACAACCCAGTCAGCGTCTCAAGTAATAAATGATTCTGGTGGGGTCAACACTATGTTTGCTGGCAACATTACTGGTGGAAACATAACGATTAATCCCGTTAAACCTCCAAGCCCGGTCTCAGTCAAAAGACGCCGGATTGTCATCGAAAGTGATAGTGACACCGACTAATGCATCTACTCTGACCTCTCAGCCGCGAGACATTCTTCAAGTGAGAGAGCGGTTTGATTTGAAACTATATATTATAAGTGAAGTTACACCAGAGATATTAACAGATTACACAGAATCGTTGTTATTACCGTTTTTGAAGTTTCAATTATTCTGCAAAAGTCTGTTCAAGTATTTTGCTTAAAATAATCCAAAGAAACTTTTTTTCTCAGCGAAGGAATATGCCATAAAGGAGTTAAGAGGTTGTTTATTTTGGTTTACACGGCTATGAAAAACATGTATCACTACTCACGATCTATGCGTAAGATTTCGACAAGTTGCTGATGTTATTGTTA